TGATATTTTCATTAGCCAAAATAATTTCTTCTCTGCATGCTCATGCGACGTTCATTAAATATTCCTCAGATGAGTAAACGCTTTCATTTTTCTTCAGTCATGACTTCATCGGCGAGTTTACAACCAGTTATAGAGAGCTGTCTCGTGGACAGAGCCAATTCAATGTTTATGAGGTAAAAACTCTCTCTCTCTCTATATATATATATATATATTTTTTTTTACAAATTTGATTAATTGAGTTCTGGCAAAACACAACACATTAACACATTTGAGCTTTTTTGACTGGTTTAAAAAACATAAATAGTAAAAAATAATATAATAAATAAGCATTTTTTAGTTTTTAATTGTTTATGTATTTTTATGCAGTAACAGGGTTGTGCTGAAAATGTGGGACGGAGCTATAATAATATAATATTGTTTTAATTTTTACTACAGTGATTTGAATATTATTTCAATTGATTATCAAAATGTTGTCATCGTTGTAGGATTTTTATTGTTAGATACAACCAAAAAGGTGCAAACAGGCTAAGAGGAGGAATACAGACATTTAATGTGTTGAAAACTAGCTACTTATCATGCCAGGGTAATTTTTTGTTAGATAATATTTTATCTAACATAGTTCTAAACATGTTCCTCTAATGCCTCTTAAAAAGTAATGGGACAACAACGTGGGCCGTATTCATGAAAGTGCCAAAAATGTTTCGTGAATCATAAAAGAAAACACATGAGGACACTTCAGTAATATGTCATATTTTTTTTAGCCGTGCTTGATGGGTGTCTTTTTGTTTCTTTCAGGTTCTGAATCCTAAGAAGAAAGGCCGGAAAAAGAAATACGTCAACTCTGGCACGGTACGTGTGAATGAATTACCTGTCAAGCGCTCTTCTCTTCTGATTTATTTTCATAATGACTTCCATTATCTATCCTCTCTCTTTCTTTTTTTCATTCTCTCTAGGTAACACTTTTGTCCTTCAAAGTGGAATCGGAGTACACATTTGTGGACTTCATTCGGGGCGGGTGAGTGCCCCTTAAAAAGTCCCTGGATAAATTAGTCTGGAGAAAGATGCAGATTAACTGGTTCGAATCGAGAGCAGCTGTATCGGGCATGCATGTAAACCATTTGTGGAATTATAGTTAGTCAATCTGAATATATTGCGTTCGAGACAATACCAGTTAACTAGAAGTGGATATTATTGGTATTGTGCTTTCAGGGCAGTTTAGTAACCATCATTTTTTTTTTCAGGGATTACCAGCATGTGTGTTGAATACTGATACAAATAAATGAAATGCACTATAGGAATATACAGTTTTTTTTTGTGCCATATATCCCAGGAATAGTCAAATAGTTTAAGGCTATAATAAAATCTGATAACAAAAAATAACAATTTGATGCTAATTCAATGTGATTATTTAAAATAAAATGCTAAAAATACACACAATGTCCCTTAAATTCCATGTTTTTATAAAGGAAAACTGCATCACCAATCCATGCTTACTGAGAGCAGATAGCAAAAAATAAGTGAGGAGCCCATTTTTAATCAATTGACAGCTCTAATAAAAATTTAGAAACATTTTTTGCTAAAGCAAACATCACATACTCATTTCAAAACAACTTTATCAAGGCAATGATTCAGTATACCAGTGTGATACCAGTGTGTCATACCATATGCTTGCCTTTTAATTAGAGCTAAAACTTGAATTATGCATTGACTTGATAAAAAAAAAAAACATTATGTACTGTATATTGAACATTTATTTATTAATTAATTTATTTATTTATTCATTTGATATGTCCAGGTTAGAAGCATTTTGATCAGGAATTTTGCATCATGGAAATGTAATTTTAAGTAGTGTACTTTAATTAGCAACATAAATATGCATTTATATAATTGCTTTTGTCTATTATAAATTTGTATTTATATGGCATCCAAAAGTTAAAATAGTCCACATTGAAAATCTATTGAATTTAACCCTGGGAATAAAGTGTTAATACTTGAAACATTTTAAAACAAATAAATGAATTAAATGAATGGAAATCTATGTAGAGTTTTTCTGAACTGTTAAAGTGCTCTGAACCAAATTCTCAACATAGCCTAAACCAATTTGTTGAATAAATCACTCTGTAAATCCTTCAACAAGTTCAGGCAGTTATGACGCCATTTGCAAATCTCATGTACAAAACACATTACCGCACTGTGATGCACTTGTGTTGCAAAACGCTAAACACAGGCAGGAAAAAGTTAAACACAACTAAAACACAGTTGTCATCGATTACACATCGACTCAAAACTGTTCACACTTATATCTAATGATGTGATTAATAACTCAACTGTGCAAAATAAGCCAGTTCAGAGTGTATAGGTGGACAGATGTACTGAATGTTGATACGAACAATAGATGGAAACAATCTGAAAAGGAGAGGAGGGGGTGGACGAGGAGGAAGAGGAGGAGGATGTGAAAGAGCCAGGTGTGGAGAGTGTTGTTAGGCTGAGTCAGATGTTCTCTGAATGTAGTTTGAAGGTTTGGTTTTGTGTTGAAGGTTTTGAGAAAGCATGATGGTTTTGAGAAATGTGTTCAGGAAAACGGTAATATTTGGATTCTGGACTATTTCTAGATTACTAATCAAATGTGTGACATAAAGCATGTGAACTCCTTTGTACTAAAGGTCAGCTGTCTTGCTTCCTTCTAAGCATGGGTAATATGGATCAGGTTTTGTTCATTTCAGCTCTACTGCTGTTATTAAAACAAAGGGGGGACTTGCTGCTTAACTATCAGTTGTGCAATTCTCATTTTCTCAGTTATTTAGCTTCATATCCAGATTCAATCATACACTCTTAGAAGAAAAGGTTCTATATAGAACCTTAAAAGGTTCTATCAGCGCTACATATTTGGAACCCCTAAAAGGTTCTATACACTATTAAAAAAAGGGTTCCTCTGGGTTCTGTATAGAACCCTGGGGTTCCATACTTGGTCAATAGAACCTTTTACCAAAAAAAAAAAAAAATGGTATATAGAACCATTTTGAAGTTCCATATATGAAGCGGGGGATGGAACCATTTCTGGTTCTAAATAGAACCATTACTTCTAAGAGTGTAGGCTCGTTCTTACGTACTAGAGCATGTAGCATAAAGCGCTGCTTTAAATCTCTTGACAGACTAAAAGACGTAAATTAAAATTTGCGTATATTCGAAATGAAAGATATAGAATTGTACTGGATGTCAGTTTGCTTGTTTTGCTGTAAGTGGGTTGTAGAGGCTACACTGGAACATCTACCCAGCGATTTCTGTAGTCACTCGGCTCTCAATACTCCTAGCAGAGGAGGCAGAACAAGGGGGCTTTTGGCTTCAGCGTCGGAGGAAGGATTAGAGCATGGGTGTAAGCAAGGATCCTAGAGCTGGCTGCAGGGGGCGGTTGGGATACGTCCCTTCTCGCTGTGTCGCCACCTTGAGATGTTCCGGGATTAAAGGAGCGAAATATTAGTGAAGGGTCCCCGGCTGATGACCCCGCAGCCATCTCTGTGGCACTGGGAGAGGTGTGTCAGGCAGAAATGGGGCACACTGTAAAAAAATATTTTCAAGATTTGTTATCACAACATATTTTCTTTTGTCAAATCAATTTTATAATAATTTATTTAGTTGAGATAACTTATTATTTTGAGTTTCTGATGATTAAATTAATCTCCTTCATTGTATTAACTCACTTTTTCCAGTTCAATCAACTTAAAATTTTAAGGCAACCCATGTTACTTATTTTTTTAAGTTAAACCAATATTTTTTTTACAGTGTAGTAATCACAACATTTTTTCTTTTGTCAAAACAACTTAAATAATTTATTTAGTTCAGATAACATATAATTTTGAGTTTCTGATGATTAAATCATTCACCTTTATTAACTCACTTTTTCCAGTTCAATGAACTTAAAATTTTAAAGCAACCAGGTTACTTACTTTTTTTAAGTTAAACCATCAATATTATTTTTACAGTGCAGATAAAGACTTTAATCCGCAAGAAACTATGCTTCTAACCACAGGGCCAGAAAATGGTTTTAGGAAACATTGTCTTGATCAACTATGCTGATAACGATGGAACAATGCACTTGAGAAACACACATCTGAGTGTGATTCGAACCGACATGGGAGGCATGGGAAGGATGCTACACTCTTAGAAGAAATGGTTCTATTTAGAACCAGAAATGGTTCCATCCCCCGCTTCATATATGGAACTCCAAAATGGTTCTATATAGAACCATTTTTTTTTTGGTAAAAGGTTCTATTGGCCAAGTATGGAACCCCAGGGTTGTATATAGAACCCAGAGGAACCCTTTTTTAAGAGTGTATAGAACCTTTTATGGGTTCCAAATACATTGAACCTTTTCTTTTAAGAGTGTAAAGACTGCAGCCTCTTGCATCAGTCTCCAGTGTGCCGATCTAGCTAATATTTATAATTTGAAAAAAATAAGCATTTTCACTACCGGTAAAGTCTTATTTGGTCAAAAATATAGTAAAAATTGAAATATTGTGAATTATTACTACAATTTAATAACTGTGTAATTTATGAAGCTGAATTTTCAGCATCATTACTCCAGTCTTCATTGTCACATGTGCTGATTTGCTCAAAAAACATTTGATGTCAAGATTTTTTGATGAATATAATTTTTTTTTGTAACATTAGAAAAGTCTTTACTGCCTTGATAAATTGAATCCATCCTTGCTGAATTTCTTACTAACCCCAACATTTTGAAACATGTAAATTAGCAAATCATGTCAAGTACCAATATGATTGGTTGCATCTTTTGACTGTGACTCTTTACTGTTAAAACAGAACACAGCTGAACTTCACCGTAGCAATAGACTTCACCGCCTCTAATGGTAAGACCATCTTCATTGATTGAAATGCAACCATTTGGGTCTGTGTGGCATGCAAATGTCACATGTCCATTTTAGATTGGCCTCAATGTCATTGGACTTGTGTCTAAACTTGTATTGATTGATACCTGAATGCAGGAAACCCATCACAGCCGACATCGCTCCACTACATGAACCCGTATCAGCTGAACGCGTACGCCATGGCCCTTAAAGCCGTAGGGGAAATCGTCCAGGATTATGACAGTGACAAACTCTTCCCTGCCTATGGCTTTGGAGCTAAACTCCCTCCTGATGGCAAGATCTCTCATGCTTTTCCCCTGGTGAGTAACGGCTCAAAAAGAGCCATCATTAAAACGCACACAGTAATGTTGGATGGTTAAAGATTAGTGAAAATCATTTACTTACACTCACGTCGTTCCAAACCGACACGACTTATTTTTCCTTTGATGGCATGGCACACAAAATGTTTTTTTTTTTTTTTTTTTCTTCTTCTATACACTGCATACATCCTCATGTATTATATATGAACTTGTGGAGGTTCTCTCCAATGCATGTGTGTTCTGACCTCGCAGAACTCGGACTGTGAGAATGCAAACTGCGTCGGCATCGAAGGCGTGCTGGAGGCGTACTATGACTGTCTTCGTAAAGTGCAGCTCTACGGCCCCACCAACTTTGCCCCTGTCATCAACCAGGTGGCACAGTAAGCTAAACAGTCCTCCTGCAATTGACACGAGGATGAGCTCTCTTTCTGTCTCTCTGCCCTGGTCTTTTTTCTGTCTCCCCTGTGAGCTGAACTCCTTCCTGTCACTATCCACTTGTTATTCACTCTAAAGCCTGTCCTCTCACTCCACCACACAAATGCACTTACTGTACGCGCACACACGAAGACTCCTCCAGAATCCTGTGCTTGACTAACACTTCACACGGTGTACCTGCTGCTCAGATGCAGCCGAGGTCTGATGTTTACCACGCAGAAACTTTTTAAAAGGGACGTATCATGGAAAGCAGGATTTTTCTTGCTTGCTTGGAATAAGGGACTTTGATGTACTATGCAAGCAGCGTTCAAAGCGGCCTCTCCAGTCACCGATTATTTATTGAAACTGAGCTACAAAAATGGGTCATTTAAAAATCAGTGTTATTGTGATGTGAAGCCATGAGCACCTTAACATTTTAGGTTTAAATGTAATGGGATGATTGCAAGTTTAAGCTATTTCAAATATGAAGAGGTTAGCCTTTTACAGCAGAGGTCGTTCACATGTAGGGTCAAAAGTACAGTAGCAAAAACAAGCCGTTTGATAATTATAAGGGTCAGATGTTGGTTGACAATTGTTGAATTTATTCATAGTGAAAGTGAAAATAGTATTATACAAAATATCATATATTATTATATAAAATATAGTAATAGTACTTATTATTTTTAATAGTAATAAAAAATGTATATGACATTAACAACATTAATTTAATAATTATATTAAGTCTAACAATATAAATTTAGCAAAAACAAGCTGTTTAATAATTCTAAAGGTCAGATAGGGGTTGACAATTGTTGAATTTATTCATGGTGAAAGCTAATATTTAACAAAAATAGTATTATACAAAATATTATATATTTTTATTATTATATAGAATATATTAATTCTACTTATTATTATTTTAATAGTAATAAAAAATGTATATGAGATTAATAACATTTATTTAATAATTATATTAAGTCTAACAATATAAATTTAGCAAAAACAAGCTGTTTAATAATTCTAAAGGTCAGATAGGGGTTGACAATTGTTGAATTTATTCATGGTGAAAGCTAATATTTAACAAAAATAGTATTATACAAAATATTACATATTTTATTATTACTATACTAATACTACTTATTATTATTTTAATAGTAATAATAAATTTATATGACATTAACAACATTAATTTAATAATTATATTAAGTCTAACAATATAAATTTAGCAAAAACATTCATGAAACATGCATGAATAATTAAAACATTGATTATTTCTTAAAAAATGTTTTGCATGTCATGACATAATAAGGGTGATTTATGTCATCAAACCGTGATATTATAAAGCAGAAAAACATGGATAATTAGTATTCTTTTGTCACAGAAGAAGAATGTTAATCTTAGTCTCTGGTCTGCTTCAAATGTCACATATATACACCGGTCATCACACAACATGAACCTTTCACACACACGTGAAGAAGCTTTTAATTGCCCTTGTCCGTTTCAAGGCTTCTTCAGATCCAGTTAAATCTCTCAATCTAAAGAAAATCAAACTCCCTGAGCGGCAGATGTGCTTTAAGAGGCAGATATTGATCGCCCGCTGCTGAAGTGGCCAACTTTTCAACTTGGTATGAGTCTCCTCTCTGGGCTCGCCACTTCTTGCGTGTCGTGAATGAGACAATATCTGGAGGTGGTTATTAGGGTCAATGGACTGAAAGGAACAGACAGATTTAATAAAAAAAAGGGGCTTAGATAAAATTTGGAGGATTTCATTGGATATTTCCAGTGATATGCTGCAACACATAATCATAATCAAATCAAAATCAAACCCATTTCAAGGAATCAGAATATCATAGAGGCTTGTTTGCAATCACCCATAGCAACCGTGTAGCAGAGCACTTGTTTTATTGCAGCCAGACAAATGAAATCCTTTTCCCTGGAAGCATTTTTAGTTTCTGAGAAGTATTTTTTTTTTTTTAATATAGATGCTCTTAAGTCTAACTGTACTGTAAATCCTCAGGTGCGCATCAGAGGTGACAGATGGCTCTCAGTACTTTGTGTTGCTGATCATCACAGACGGTGTCATTTCCGACATGGTGCAGACTAGAGAAGCCGTGGTCACCGTGAGTTATTTTTGCTTGTTTAGACGTTCATGATGTTCTTGTAAATTCAATAATCTTTTTAGCAGGGCCAATACTACCTCTCCTTCTTTCAGGCGGCGTCCCTGCCCATGTCAATCATAATCGTGGGAGTCGGCCCTGCTGAATTTGATGGTGAGATTATGGCCCAGCAAAAACCGAGATGGTCTCAAAACGAGAATACGATATGTGATGTAACTATTCTGTTGTTAATGTAACAGCTATGGAGGAGTTGGATGGAGATGAGGTTAGGGTGTCCTCCAGGGGACGTGTTGCTGAGAGAGACATTGTCCAGGTACGTAATGTAATATATTCGAGATTATTATTATTCATCATTGAAAAAGTCTATTTGGCCCTGAGTAAGTTTAACATTATACATTTTTCTCATCTGAATAATTTTAATCATGTTAGGCTGAGGTCCCTTAAATAATATTAAACAGATACAACGTTTGATTTTAATAATGGATTAGTAAATATTGAAATTAACTTCAACTAAGATTAATAATTAGATCGTTAGTCGTTAGTTACACTGTGTAACTCTTTTAGTTTATTCTTAGCTAAAAACACTTAGTTCTTTCAAAAATATATGTGCTCATTAATGTATATTTACTTCGTTCAAGTAATAAAGTATTCTCGTGAGTGTATAATATGCCATTGAAAATACATACGGGTAAGGGGTTCTAATGTCGCCCCTCCATCTTGAAAGTACATTAGCCAATGAGGGACATACCCGTTAATTCAAGCTTCGCCTTTCGCATTTACGTTTGAGTTAACACTCATGGACGAGGTCGAACTGGAAGCCATTTTAATCTTGGACTACATTGGCCACCGTAGGAGTTAAAACGAAATCGGAATTGAGAGGAACAGAAACTAATATTCACTGGATGGTCATATACATTTTCACTGCTAGATGGGGGTAAAAATCACACAGTGTAGCTTTAAATAATGTAGCTAACAAATGGAACCTCATTGTAAAGTGTTACCATAATAAAAAAAAGTGGTTTTGATATGCGACACATTTCACAAATATGGCACACTTTGGTTAGCTGTTTAAAGTTTTAGAGATAAATTAAAAAAAAGATTTGTGAAATTATTTCTCTTTTTAAAATTATTTTATTTATTAGACATTTTAGATTAATTATTATTACGATTTCTATTTATATTTTTTATTTAAACTTGTTAAATATCATACTAAATTATATAGTATATTTTATTTATTATTTTAACCTATTTTTTTTTTTTAATAAAGTCAGAAAGACATTTTTCATGAGATTCATCTCTGTATCTCTGATTTAGTTTGTGCCGTTCCGCGACTACGTCGACCGATCCGGGAACCAGGTCCTCAGCATGGCCCGACTGGCTAAAGATGTCCTGGCCGAGATCCCCGACCAGCTGCTGTCGTTCATGAAGAGCAGAGGCGTTGAACCCAGACCAGCCCTCTCCCCCTCTCCTACGCCACAGATTAACGTCCACCTCTGATCCCAGAGCAGTTTTTTATCCTCTCCCCCCAAACACAGCTCTATCTTCACGTCTGAACCCCCCCGGGTCCGTTACTGGGGATGCACATTTTTACTTTCCACATAGGTTAGCAGTAGCACATTATGTAGTTACAATAATAATCAACTGAAATCAGGAACACGTTAATGTAAGTGTGTGCTGTGATACTTTATAATCAGCCAGTGATCATTCAAAGCAGTTCTTGCTCGCCTGGAATGGAAGATGTGTACGAAAAAAGAGGGCGAATTTCCTAAAAAGAAATGTCTGGGTCTCGTCTCACCCAAAAATCGAAATATGAGAAAATATACATCAAATTTGACATAAAATACAATTCATATAAATTACATTGCATTGAGACATTATTTTCTCATTCCTAAATCTTGTCACCATAAAAAGAGTCTCTGTGCACTCTCTCACACTCGTGGTTGGCAGGCTGTGCTGTACGCCGTAAAACACGCACGCACAGGGCACCTTTAACGTCGCACGTCATCTTTGTATTTCACGTAGATTCTCGGGCCAATATATATATTTCATTTTCTCACTGGCTGAACTAGTTGCGCCGGCACACTTTTGAGTGTGTAAATATTTTCTAATTTGCGCCCGATTATGAAAGAAGCTAATAAGCAGAAAAACGGATGCCTGTGCGGGAACACCGGCGCACTCCGAGTCTTCCGCACATCTCGAGTGGATGTAGCTAATTACCTGGAGAAACTGAGGTGCCAATCAGTGCAATTCAACCAGAGAGAGGAAGATTGAGGGAAGAAATATCCAGAGTGTAATCAGCAGAGGTTAATGGGCACAGGAAGTGTGCAGACGGATGGCGTGACAAAGATAAATCAGGTGATCAGCAGAACGACAGAAAGAGATAGGGATTTCTTTTTATGAAGCTGCTGGGACAAAGGTGGATTTTACAGGTAAATCTCATGGAGAAATGCCTGGGTCATATTTTACCCCAAATCGACCATTTAAAGCACTGTTACATTATTTTTTATGACAAAATTGCCCAGAACCCAATTATTATTATTTTTTTTTGGGGAGTAATGAATGCTACCATTACCGATACTTACTATTGCACTTTAAAAATACTTTGCAATTTAAATTATGGATGCACTATACTATATATCAGTTATTGGTTTACCTTTATTGTTTTTAATGCTCACCTAAAGTTATATTTTTAAAAAAAACATTATATAAATAATCTCTAAAAATATTTTTTTTTCCATAATGTAGGCTACTTTATAATTGTTTACAATGTTTTGATGCCTAAAATGACTTGTAGTATCTATAATAAAATATATATTAACTATCTAATATAATGTTTTATTTTAGTTTTTTTAAAATTTAGAAGTTTAATATCAGCCATTTATCAGTTTTCAACCATAACAAGAAAATTAATAAGTTTTAATTGTATATTGATATTAATATCATGCCTAATAATTTCAGTAGTTCATTTTTCTTTGCCGTATTGATAATGAAATAAAGATGCTCCCAACTGTCATGAAAATATTGTCTCAATTCAATATAAAATGCAATTTTCATAGAAATAGGCTTTTCCCCCTTTCTTTTGAATTTGGAGTAGATGCATGACCCGGATGTTTCTTGACATTTTTCGTGAGGTTCACCCTTTGCATACACTGCCGTGTTTTCAAAATGCTTTCAAAAAATGATTGTAGACTCATTGAATGTTTGGCAAGTTTGGCGCATTCCAGAGGATTCTTTCATTTTTCCATCCTTTCATTCTGCTGTACATAATGAATAGTGCAGTAACGTTCGACATCAATTCATGTTTGTATAACCTCCATGATCCTTGTTGCTGTGATCAAAACATTGCTCAGATACTTTAACGTTGAATACCGTTTTCTCCATATTTATATATACAGTAATCTATCGGAAATGTTCTAACTGTTACTAAACTGTAGATTTGAATGATATTTGTTTCATAGTAAAGACAGCTATAGTAAACACAGCTGCTTGTGCCAAAGTGCAACCATGTAAAACATTCCTGCCAAGATTGTATATCGACATGTGTGAGGCAAAGATGTTTGTTTTATATCTCTTTGTTGTGTTTTTAATAAAGCATGAATGTCCTGTGATGACTTCTGAATCATTTATCATGCTTATTCACAGGATGAATGGATGGATAGGTGTGCACTTGTGAATATCAGTCCCCGTTCATTGTAATTGCATGGAAATGAGGAACTAGGACATTCTTCAGAATTTCTCCTTTTGTGTTCCACACAAGAAATAACGGCAAGCAGATTTGGGATGAGATTATGGTGAGTCCCCAACAATATTCAAACCAACTTAATCCAAGTAATCGAGAAGAACAGTAAAGTCTCTGTTCAATTCTATTTGCCGGCTATTCATTGTTTTGGGATTGTAGTTCTTTGACTCTTGACTGGCATCTGGTGGCGAATATATGCTGAACTTTTTTTTCCCTTCTAGTTGCGTGTGTGTAGGAAGGGATTGGATATGTCACAGTTTGCAGAGGTGAAAGGTGAGAACATGACAAAGCAGCTGTACTAAAAACAGCCTTAACAAACACTGAAGCACAGTATTATAGTTTACATTTATTTATTTAGCATTGTACTAGGCTAGGTCATAGGCTAATGCATAATTCTGATACATTATATGATAGTTTGAGAGCTGATTGTATTGCAAACATTGTGCAAGGACTGCATTAGTCAGCTCATCTTGCTATAGGGACGAGTCTCCAGTGGTGATCAGTGTGAAGTGTTGATTGTGTGTGACATCCACTGGAGATCTCTCGAAAACTTACCATCTGTCCTCAATGCCAGCTTGTGGTTATGCCTATGAGAGGAGGAGGCAATTTAAAGGACAGGCCACTTTAAAAGGAACATTTTGTCATTATTTACTTGCATGTGGTTCCAAACCCATGGAACACAAGATTTCCAAGATTCAAAAAAGTAGCAGAACATGATAGTTTTGTGTGATGAACAGACCAAAATGTATTTGGTTATTCTTCTCACTTCTCATTACCAATTGTGATGCAGAAACTTGGTATCATGATATCACTCTTAAAAATAAAGGTTCTGGTCGGCGCCAATAGCCTCAAGGGCTGATTGCTGACATATAGCGCTGTTGCACTTTGAGCGACCCGAGTTTGAATCTCGGCTCGCAGACCTTTCCCGATCCTGTCCCCCTCTCTCTCTCTCCCAAACTCGTTTCCTGTCAACTCTACCATCCTATCATAATAAAGGCAAAAATCTACACAAATGATTTTGATGAAAAAGAATGGAAAAAAAAATGGAATCTGCACTCTTAGAAGAAAAGGTTCTATATAGAACCTTAAAAGGTTCTATCAGTGCTACGTATTTGGAACCCCTGAAAGGTTCTATACAGAACCGTTTTTAAACCCCTTTAGGGTTCTTTGCAACCAAGAAAAAAGGTTCTATACGGAACCTTTTGGGTTCATTCATTATCATTTGTTTTTATCGTTTCCGGATTAAATATTTCATATTATTGACAAACATCAAGACCCTAAAATGTATCTATGAATGTATTTATAGGGGTTAGAAAATGCATATATTTATATCATTTTATGTAGTTAATCAATATCGCACGAAGAGTGCCATTTCAGTTTTTCTCTTCCAAAAATCAGCATGATTAAAATGTGATATTAAAACAGTTTAATAAACAATAATGTAATTACAACTAGAAAATGTTGCAGAATAATGAACAATAGCTTATAAAGAACCTTTGTGCCAAAAGGGTTTTAGAACCTTTTTTTAGCATAAAAGGTTCTTTGGAGTTGAGTAAAGAACCCATGCTTCATACAGTATATAGAACCCTTTTTTCTAAGAGTGTGTGGTTCCATTTAGAACCTTAAACATCCATGGAACGTTTCCTTTAAAAGGTTCTTAATAGTGGAAAATGGTTATTTAGATAATTAAAATAAATGTTCACACTAATAAAAAATGGTTCTTTTAAGAGGTATTCACTGAAAGGTTATTTGGAGAAACCCAAATGGTTCTATAACATTACTGTGAAATCCCTTTTTGGAACTTTAATGTTTAATAGCTTCATAGCTAATTGAGCGTTTGTTTCAAACATCTCGGGAACATTCTGCCTGGCAGCACGTTAGCCATTCTCAGTTCATTTCATCTAACGTTTCCCCTGCAGACAGATACCGCGTGTGTGTTTTATGTAGGTACTATTCTGGCTCTCGTCTCTTTCCCATGGGTCTTCTCTGTGGATTCGAGTCCTCCAGCACTTCTCCCACATGGATTTTGATGAGTAAACATCACTGGAAGGCTAAGTTTACTCTCACACCTCTCCACACACGCTTCTCCAGCAGCTATACAGAGAAACAGAGGTGGTGGGTATTTGCTGTACTTGGTAAGGGAACATTTTGTCCGATCACTGTCCTCTAGTGGTAACAGCAAACTTCTTTAATGTGCAAGTTCATATAAGCAGTGAGTGCATGCTGAGGCATTATAGCCCCCTATATTTAGCTTTTTGAAGAGTTCAGATGCAAAAGCCTCTAAATGCCATTTGAAATTTTCTTCTTTAATGATGATTTTTATCAAGCTTGTATATTTAAGTTCAGTAATTTCACTTAAATAACAATTAAGTGAATCACTGAACTTAAATATACAAGTTTGAAAAAAATCATCATTAAAGAAGAAAATTTCAAATTTAGAGGCATTTAGAGGCTTTTGCATCTGAACTCTTCATTTTCTCAGAAGTGATCTAAATTGGACAAAACCTACTTTTGGGAATGTTTGTGAATTTTAAAAAGCATTTAGAAATTCCATTACTTCTAAAAATGCAGTTTTTGGAGTATGTTTAGGGTTATTTTGCAGTAATTATAAAAGTAAATACACATTTATTTCATGTTTAGTCTCTCACTGGAGAGAAGCCAAAAGAAAAACGCATAGTGTACAAAGAGGCCGCTGTATCTTTACAACTTTAACATTATCTCAACACTCTTCCATTTCCTTCAGATTAGATAATGTTTGGTCTTAAGTGCAGCTGTTAGGTAATTATCATAGCCAAAAAAGTCACGGCGGATTGAGCAGAAGACGTTTAGGAGAGCAGATCCACATGCAGCGATGAAAATGTTTACGAGGAGAGGCTCTTTACTGCTTCTCATTAGAGCGGAGAACTTTGTGGTGCTGTCGAGGAATATCTTGCGCAACTCGGCTCCACAACCACAAAACAATCCGTAGGGGTCTGGATCAGCATCCAATGCTGCAATAAAAAGGCAATTAAAATCCACGCGTTAGGAAAGTTCAGCCGGCAACTCTAATGATATCTCTATCATTACTGAATCTTTCTGTTGTTTTCTTCTGCGGCGCAGTTTTAATTAATACTGTTTAAAGTTCTCTGATTCTCTGTCACACATTTTTCATCTGATTCTAAACCTGTACGCATCTCTTTCTTCTGCAGAACCAAACAACATTGGCTTCCATTGTATGGACAAGAACCTTTCTTGAAATGTTTTGGAGCAACATGGGGGTGAGTAAATGATGACAGATGTTGTTCATTTTTGCGTGGAGGATCTCTTTAACTTCAACCAAACCCAACAAACCTTATGTCTGAACACCCAAAATGATTGAGTGGCACCAGAGCATGCAACAGGAGTGACGTCCCAGGACACGAGGCTAGCAGAGTTTACTCATAAACGTGAATTCTTGTTTAACGACGTCTCGTTACACAGGAGGCGCCTGTGCTTCTGAGAATTGTTGTCTCTAGGGCCTGGAGGAGGCAGAAGAAATATGGTGTCTTTTACCCATCCTGATTAAACTAGTTGGTTTCCATCTTAACCTGTTTCCCATTACCAGAACAACTGGCTGGCTTTGTGAAAAACAGCTTGTTTCATCCTCTGAAAGGGTGTGGAGAGTGTAAGCAGTGAAGAACAAGGATATTCATAACATTTGCAGTGCCAGTGAGCTCACACTAAACACAAGCACTTAGCTTGTTATGCTTCTCGTGGCTTCGTGGAAAAAAAAAAAAGTTTGCGTATTTTCAGTTTCGTTAGCATACGCAACATCTTCAGTCAGATTACGCACGTCGCTAAATTGCCTGCGGACTGATGGCTTTCAGGTGTTTATGTGTTCTTCATTTATTTATTTGTACTGGAAAAGTAACAGCGGGACAGCATCATTCAGGCCCGTGACGCTTGGCCTGCTTTAACGAGGGAGCGGAAAGAAATAAGGCAAACATGTGTTGAAAATGGAAGGTTTTAAAGAGGCTCAAACAAAAACTGTTTTGTCAAAATATGGTAGTAGGTCAGACGCAAGCTTAGCTCAGGGAAACTGGGCAAATATCATCAGAGGCTCTGAGGGAGACGGACGTGTGCACTTAGATCCTGGTGAAGTGTGCTCTCTGTTACTGGAAAACAATGACAGATTGGCTGCTTGTTTCCACTTCATCTCCAACTGCTTTTATATAACGATGTGTTTGAAGCCGTTTTTCAATGACAGGGTAGACAGAGACTTGACTGCTAAGTTAGTACTATTAGTGTCTTGGCTATAGACCATCTCAGACCCTGTCCCAAATGGCACACTTCATGTGGACTTGCGATCGCCGCTGCGTGCACATGTCTGAAGACCGAAGGGTGTCCAATTTGTGATTTTAGCTTTCAGAAGGGACCACGAGCGTCCCCTTCGTGGCCGGTATGCGCCCTTTGACCCAAAGTGTTGGATTTGTTTATTGGTACTTTATTGGTTTGGAGCTGTTCTAAATGGGATAGTTCACTCTAGTTCATTTACTAACTAATCATTATAGTCTCATTACTTGAATTGCATTAATAGCAATGAAAATTAATAACATTTAAATGTAATTTTATAGGCTACAATCCAGAATTTAAAAGCTATTTTTGACCAGATATCTTTCTTTCTTTCTTTCTTTCTTTCTTTCTTTCTTTCTTTCTTTCTTTCTTTCTTTCTTTCTTTCTTTCTTTCTTTCTTTCTTTCTTTCTTTCTTTCCTTCCTTCCTTCCTTCTTCTTCCTTCCTTCGTTCCTTCGTTCCTTCCTCCCTTCCTTCGTTCCTTCCTTCCTTCCTTCCTTCCTTCCTTCCTTCCTTCCTTCCTTCCTTCCTTCCTTCTTTCCTTCCTTCCTTCCTTCCTTCT